TTAAAAAGAAAATGACTATCTAGGACATTTGATTGTGGGTTTATCCCTTCTGCAGCAGACTGATAATAGCTACTGAGCAGCATCTGCTGGTGAACTCTGGGCATAGTTATTTTACCAGAAACAGAAAAAGAGGAAAGCAGTCATATGTTATAAAACCAAAAAATTCCCATGTGCTTGAAGTTTTTCTTCCTTTTTTCTGCCAAATACATTTCAGCTTTGCTTTCTCAAGGGTGGTAATCAGAATTCCACCATGAAATATCATTAATGTTGTATAAAACTAAACATATGTGAAAGTTGCATTTAATAGTGCTGTCCATTCAATTGCACACATAACCATAAAAATAACAATTAAAGGAAGGGGTTATAATTAAATTGTTTGATATAAACTCTGTTTTTTGTATTCACCTGCTAGGGTATGAAAGTCCAAAATGTTCATTGAAAAGCTTCCTGTTAGTAAGACTGCTTGAAAAATTACCTAATATAGCACTGCAAGGCCATTATTCATGGTTTAAAACATTCCTAAAATCTGTAAACATGTCTAAAGAGTTACACAAATACTGTACTTAAGTGCAATCACAATTTGTAAAATATAACCATTAAAAAGGGTTTTTTGCATAGTTTTCCTGTAATAATTCCTGTAATAATAGATGTATCTTATGTTACCAATTGAGGATTCAAATAGGCAACATTATTCAATGCAAATACTTCAGTTTCTTAGGAGTATTATATGACTTTAACAATGTTGTATGGTAGAATTTTAACTGCAGTCCTTGTAGTTATTTCTACAAGATGAAGTTAGGAAACTGAACAAGAAATTCTGGCAAACTCCCAGGCTACCTTGAGATCTGTCGACAGCATTATTACACCAGTGTGCACCTCCTCGTTAAACATTAACTAGGGATGATTGGAAGCATGGGATGATGCTCACATTTATCTCACCATTAGAAACTGTTTTGCTGGCACACCAGCTCAGCAGGATTCTACACACAACTCACCCATGCCTGTTGTTACCATGCTAATCTTCCTACCTAAAGCTTGGTTTGGAGAGGGCTGGGTTCTGTGTGATATGTCAAGAACCTAAGTGGAGACCCTAAACCTACAAGATCTTTTAAATGAGCTGTCCAGTTCTTACGTTTGCAACACAGATCGTTTAATAAGTGACAGGAATGTAATTCTGTGGTTAAGTCCAGCAAAGGGCATTGTCAGAATTCATATAATGATGTATAAAAGGAGACAACCCCCTTCCAGTGAGATGGTTCTTGACAAGGGATAGAGCAAGTGGGAAGGAGAAAATTGCAGGGATCTATTAAAAGTCATTCACGCCCCAAACATAGCATTTGGCAGAACACTGGAATGAAATGTTATTGGAGTTGGAGACAATCACAAGAGGGTCAGGAAGAATGCAAAGTTGTGAGTGATCCTTAATTAAAAAGCTGTTCAGGAAAGAGAATAAAACATGGAGGTCAATTTCTTTTCTGCCTATTGTTGTGCTTTCACCTACAGCATTTTGTTCTTTAAACTACAGCAAAGATTCTCAGTTCTGTGCTCCCTCTCCACATCAGATTTCCAAGGAAACATGGATTTAGGAACAGAAGACCCAACCAGGGAATCGTAATGTATTAAATGGCTTATTGTTAATTCTTTTAAAAAATGGCTCACTTGCTACTCACATACCATTTTCTTTAAATAACGAGATAGAAAATTAAGCACATGCAGCCCACCTTTTATGATGGCAGTGATAGTGGTGGGGCTCAGGTGTTCCTTTCCTGTGAAGTCTAATAGAAGGCACTGTGATTATCTTGCCAACAATAGTCGCAATGACCTGAAGCAGGACCTATTACCATGTTTCTGCAACGTCAGCCTGCACAAAAGCTTTCTCTGCCACCTGCCTTAATTTATCACACTTTTGTCCCATCTGCAACCAAATGTCCCGAATGAAGAACCGGCTTTCCCTCAGCAGTGGTACAACTACAATTTTTCTTCTATATAAATAATACAGCTGCCTTCCAAAGACTAACTATACATCAAACAATAATCTCTTCCCACTTACTCGGTAAAATAGAGACAATTATTTCCCAGGGAAAACACTAATTAGCATTGCATTTCCTAAAAGCCTACAATAAAAAACAAAGGAAGAGTAATGTCCAATCCACATGTGACGTTTGCAATCTGCAACACTGGTTTAGCAAGAGAGAAAATGTGGTGACTTACATGGTCCTACCTTTCCCCATTCCTTGATGTGTCGAGAATTAATTATTTTCAAATAGTAACTGAACTTTGTAATCTTTACGATGTCACTTGGTGGATTTATAAAACAAGGCAGTGGCTAAAGAGATGCTTACATGAAACTCCCGGATCCAACCTCATCCAAGGGGACTTACAGGAGACTGGTGAGTTTTTCCTGTTCCCTTGATCGACACAGCGCCACTGCTTCAAAAGCTTCTCGTAAATTAGGTGCAATTTGTTATGCAGTTTGCAGAATTGCTTCCCAAAACAATCCCTTGTGCTTGAGAATTAGTTTTTAGTGTTCTTTGGGACCAGCTAGTGGCTAGGGCAAATCTACACAGGAATAATCCCTGTGTAAAATCTACCTACCTCCTGCTTTATCACCTATCTGTTGGCCATTGCTTCCTCAAGTGCTACATTAGAACTACCTAATGTAGCTCTACCTATTTGCGCCGAGCTTGCTTAGAAGGTCACATAGAAATGTCAAAATTCTTGCAGAATTGTTTGTTTATACATGTATTTATAGGCTGCCTATAACTGCTGAGGTCTTCCCAGGTGAATTATATGGAATTGCGTCCTAGAGCAAATCAAGTAAGAACATGCCTTGGAAGGGAAAATGACAAAACTGAGGCTGTGCAGAGCTGTCAAGCAGAGGACATTTTGGAGGGGGTTCATTCATTGGGTTGCCGTAAGTTAGACTGCCATGACGGAACATAAAAATAACAACACTGCTGGTGAGCAGGTGGAAACACATCCAGAACATAATGTTCATCTGGTTCCCCCGAAATGACTGGATGGTGAAGTGTGCCTCACCCAAGAGCACAACCTCAGTTAGGTCTGTGATTACAATATAGAAGACTTATTTCCAAAGGAGTGGCTGTGTTAGCCTGTGGCAGCAAAACCAACACAGAGTATTCTGCCAAATAACAGCATCTCCTGGGCCTCCCGGTCATTTTCAAAGAGATTTTCACCAGAAGATATACAGAAATGGGAATAAGTCACAGTAGTAATATCCTAGATTAATGTACCATGTAATAAGGAAAGGCAGCAAAACCACATTAAGCAGTCTAATTGTTTCCCAGAAGCTTCAGTAATAGCCAGTGTGGTGTAGCAGTTTGAAGACTAGGAAGACCTGGGTTCAAGGCCATAAGGCTCACTGGGAGTCTTTGGGACAGTCACAAACCCTCAGCCTAGTCTACTTCACGGAGATGTTGTGAGGATAAAATGGAGAAGAGGCTCAGCTACTGGGTGGTACTGAAATAAAATCAACTAAGCAATCATGTATGTTGCCTTGGGCTCATGGGAGGAAAAGACAGGATATAAATGTGATGGCAATATTAAAAATAGCATCTCTATGGGAAAATTTTGGCGAAACCAAGAGTACACACAGTTGAAAGAATCAAGACATTAACACCAATCTTACATCCCAAGTGAAAGTGGCTGAAAACTAGGATCTAGGTTCTAGAAAACTTGATCTAGATTTTAGAAAAAAAGGATCTAGAAATGTCCAATCTTGTCTTTCGCACATCCTACAAGTTTTTGCATAGTATGTGTTTCTCTCATCCTTTCTGCACTTATGTACTATCGGCAGTACCATTCACAACTCACTTCTAGTTTATAAAAGCAATTATGGAAAACAATATGCCCAATTCTATTTGTATAGAAGAACCTAATACTACATGACACAGCACAATGATTACTATATATTTAACCAAATGTGTTTTTATTTGTCCTGTTGTGCATTTGTATAAGCTTTTTTTAAGGTCAACAGAAATCCATGGGGGTTACACATACAGCAGCTGATGCTAGTTAGTAAACAGGAGCCACCAGAAATTAGCAACTCTTGCCTGCCCTAAATAGCATTTTAATTTGCAAATTAGATGGAGGTTACATTTAGAAGTACAATTGTATTTTTGCTTGCTTAGAAGTCGTTCAGCTTACATGCTAGGCATGCATAAGCTTGCAGTGTTAAACTGCAATCTGATTAAAGGAAGTTTCCCATTCTAAGGAATTTGATATATCAAGTTACAAGTGGAAGGTTCTCATTAAACAAACTGTATTTTATTTTATTTTATTTTATTTTATTTTAAATTCCCAGGTTCCACAGTATGGATGTTGTTAAGTTATGAAACATGGAAGTGTGAAGACATCTTTTAAGCATGTTAGTTCTCAGTATGTATTTTTAGATGATACATATACTCACATGAATACTGCAGTGGTAGAAGCAACCACAAACATTTTAATTCAAAAGCGTTTTATTATCACAAAACTAGAAAGTGCATGTACAAAAACATTTTCAGAAAAAGAAAGTGGCTACTCAAAGTTGTTTACATATTTTATACAATAAATGCTTCAAAAAGTAACATTAAATGGTGTATAGTTAACAAAAAATGTACCAATTCTTTAAAACAGTTGCAATATATATTCACTGAAATAATACTACAGTATTTGTAACTTGAATTAAAACTCTTTTATGGCACAGTGATCTTTGGTACAGCACTCAAAGTGCATGTAACTTGGCCACAACTACATGGTTTTTAAGTGCGTATCAACAGCTGCTTAAAATAAATGTCCATTTAAATATATTAATGCAATGGCTACCTACAGTACAATATGCAATACTGATTATACAGTTGAATATATTTTTCTTTGTTAAGCAGTGGTCAGTTTAAGTTAGCCTGCATCAGGAAAAAAGGAGGAAGCCAAGTTTTCTCATTAAAGAACTCTGCTCAGTTTCTTCTTTCTTCACTTTCACATAAAGCCAGAGCTGAAATAGAAAAGGTTATTTTAGTTTGAGTTTCTGTACAAGAAAGAAAACTGTTTTACAACATTAAAGCTCCTATCTTCAAGTAGCCCACATCTAATTTGATCGGTTCCAAATGGATAAGGTCCTGAAGTGATTCAAACATAGAGAACTAGCACATGGCACATACTGTCCTAAACTGTACTGCTTCATGCTCTAGGTAAGGGCTCATATGTTTAATGCTCCCTGCACAAGGCAAACAAGCATTTTGGGCAAAAAGGTTTCATTCAGCATTTTCCGTCATGTGCTAGCTTTCCAGGTGAAGGGAGGATAAACTCAACCTGAAGCCTAAGGTGCTCTATTGCAGAAAGGCCTGTATCATTTGCATTTTCTACACAAATCAACAATCGTCTAACAAACAATGCCCTCCAATTCTTCAACTCAAATTTGAATAAGTCTTTCATTTGATATTCCTAAAAGTACAGCTGGTTAGTATTGTGAATGTGATAGATAATAATACAGTATTCAGGTTGTTATCAATCATGTGTCATACTCATTTTTTAAAAGATTACTTTTAAAACAAAACGCAGATAACTTGAAAGAGAAAAAACGAGTGCACTTTAGCACACTGCCCCTGTGCTGTTGGACCAGACTGCTAACACAACTGGGAGCAGCAGTTCCTGAAATAAGGCTGCTCTGCTGAGCTGCCCATCCTGAAAATGGGGCTTGCTGCCATGCTTATCCCAGGAATAGCTAGTTCCTGTGTCACTAGCAGCCCATTTCACAAACACAACAGAACAGCAGAATGCAGGAGAGCGACCAGTTTCTCATTCCAGCAAGGTGCAAAATATACCATTCTCAATTAATTCTATTTTTCCCCAATAAAATTTGATAATCTCAGCTATTTGTCAATATTCCAATGCACAGTTTTTTTCAAAGAGCTCTTATTTTCTCAGGGGAACAGATAGAACTAATACATAACAGATTATTAAAACTTTGTACTTGCCTTTTTATTTATGGGTCCTGTTTCAGAACCCATAAGCAACACAAAAATCTAAATTAGAGATATAATGTGCTATCTTTGACGGTGATAAGGAGGACAAAACTACCGCACATGGACAAAGCTATTTGCTGTAATTCACATGGTATGGTTTTATGCATCTTTTTTATTTCAGAAAGGGGGACATGCTTTGAACTATTAGTTTTTAGGCATTGTTTACAATGCCTTTAACAGCATGATCCTATACTTGTCTCCTTAGGGGGGTTTACTCGCACATCAATGCAGCCTAAGTACCATTCATGGCAGTGATGATTTGTTAAGTCTAAAGCCAGGTATTGACTGGCATTTCATAATCAAGCTGATTTTTTATTTTCTCTGGAAAGAAATTTCAAATCCTACCAACGTAATGAAACAGGACAATGGAAATGATTGAAACAAGGGGAAATCTGGTCTCTTCATGAAATTGGTCACAAAGTTGTGATTACATGTGCTTCCGTTTGCACATAACACCCAGTACCATTGGATCTGAAAGTTTTTAATTAAACTGATCAATGAAATGATTGAAAATGGGAGTTATGTAACTTTTTAGAAGTTATGATTAAACCAGACTTGCAAATGGCTGGTCCCCCAGTTGCCTATCACAAAGAGTAGTCTGCTGCAGATAACCAGGAAGGGAGTCTTTGCTAATGAGTGACTAACATAGGCACACAGTCCAGTGATGTACCTGGAATAGCCCCTGGCCGTATTTCATTTATACTGATAGCGTATTTTAATAAATATTATATAAATGAATACTTTGAGTAACATTTTATATCATTTATAATTAATACCATTTTATTTATTTATATTAACAGATGCATATTTATATTAAGGCAGCATATATGAGGCTCCCAAATAGACACCCATCCATGGGCCAATCATACCCAGATCTGTTGATGTTACATCTGCAGGGACATTTGCCCTTTTTCTGGGCCTGCCTGTAAGATAACGACTCTAGCCATCTACCATGCGATGCTACACCTCACCCACCCTCGATGGTGATGGCTGGAGGGAACGTGTTGCACAGCTACTTCTCCACCAATGGTGGTGGCGTGAGAGACCTGGGGGGGCGGGGTAGCAGACATTCTGGAGATGAATCGGAAACAGCTTAGTAGCTGGGACTTCCAGCTGTCCCATTATTCCCCAGAGAAAGATTCTTTCTGCTCCAGTTAGGACATAAAGCAGAAAAAGCAACTGTTCTGCCTATTGGGAGGGAAACTTTAAAAATGCCACTATGATACGGAGAGCTATAAAAAAGCATCCCCCACTTTTTGCCCTGGCCACCATTGTTCTTCGTTCCCTTTGCCTGTCCCTGCAACTCCGCTCACAGGTTCGGTAAACCCCGTGACTTTGTCAGATTTTTAAGACCGTTTTTGACTTTAAGTCACTACATGTTACATTTTATAATAGTTAGAATTTTGAGGAGAACATGGAGTACAACAGTGGGCACACCCCATATGACAATACACGTTGTAGGCTATTTCTAATTCTGTAGTATCTTCTGTCATGACTAGAAAACTACAAAGGCTCTTATGAGTTTTGGGAATCTGAAACACTCTTCAAGAATGAAAGACATACTGAACGTAAAGATCTATTTTCTGGAACTTCTCTGAAAACTAACATACTCTAACCACAACATCTGCTTGCCATGTCCGAATACTACTGCTGGTATTCCCTGTGAGTCATTCTGTCCCTTTCTAACTTTTCTCTCTCTTCCTGTATATTCACAACTTCCTGATCTCTGACATCAAAGCACAGGAGCTCGAGCCGAAAACCTGGATCCCTTTGGGAAAAAAAATAGAAGAGTTCTCATCAAAGTGGCTGATAACAAGTTAAAACAAAATTACTGACTGTCATACTTGCAATCCGAATATATTGCTTAAAAGATTTGTCTGAACTGAATATTTTCCCCTACCCTCAACTTAAATACTTTTGGAATCAGCTACTTACTTTTTCCGATCCTTCTCTTTTTTTAATCCCACGATGGGTGTAGTTGGCAGCACCTTCCCTTGGAGTATGTCTGAGGCAGCCTTCCTTTTACTGAATGCAATCATTTCATCTTCGAGAAGCTTTCGTTTCTCCTCCACTTTCATCCTCTCTTCTTGATGGAGGCGTTTCAAGTGTTCAAACTTCACTTGTAGCTAAAGTCAAGCAAAGAAAAAGTCACTTCTGCCACAAGGGGGCAGCCTAGCACATAGCCTAGCAATGGCAATGATCACAAGTTAAATACAAAGAGATTTCCCAAATACTCGCCTGTGTTTTGTGTTTTGAGTGCTTACTATATCAATTACCTTGTCCTTGAAAAAAATTACAAGACCGAATGCCTTAGAATCAATCTTTTATTCATAAAAAATTAGCAAAGATTTTTCATTAAGCTTTTCAAATGAAGATACCTTCTATGGGAATACTCCCTATTCAGCTTTCCATTTCTTAGTAAATAGAGGACAGGTTGTTACACAAGTTAAACAACATGGATTTTTGCCTTTATCAGCCCATCTTTCAATATTCAGATGGAACTTGGAGTGAAATGTAACTGTAGGTCAACAATTCACGCTGAACCTGAAGGAGATGGGCCCCGATTCATCCTGTTAGATCATCTTCTGATGCCATCCACTATAATATGCTGTTTTGTTTTCAATAACCTTTAAAAAAAATCCAGAGAAATTTGCCAGCAGATATATAGTAATTTCATGTGTTCTCCTAGGCGGCAAACCAGGGCTCCCAGGAGATGAGATGGATTCTACATACCCAAAGGACTTTCCCAATACGTAGAAAGTAAGGTTGCTTACATGTAACTGATGTTCTTCAAGTGGTCATCTGTGCTTTCACAGATATGAGCTCTGTGCCCGTGTGGGGTGTGTTGTCAGGAAACATTTCCTACCTAAATTCATTCTGGCAGGAGCCCCTCCCCTCCCTCTGGAATATCTAGAAGGGGCTCCTGCCATATTCCTCAGTTCTTAATGAGACTGTTGTAGCCCCAGAACCATGGAGGAAGGCTGGTAAGCAGCCGCCTTGTTCCATTCCAGTACAGGCCCAGAGGCCAAGAAACTACTGGGACTGAGGCTGTCAACACCAGCATGGAGCCAGTGAGTGTGTGGTGTGCATGCACAGATGATCGCTCAAAGAACATCAGTTGCAGGCAAGCAAACGTACTTTCTTCCTCATGATTTCTGCACATACATATGGGTGACTAGAGCTTAGCTCCAGACGGGGGCAGGAAGGTATCATCATCAGAGGACCGCCAAAAGGACCACTCAGCCGAAGGAGAAATGTTGCCTGGCACAGACATCTAGCTGGTAGTGCTGGATGAAGGCTGATGGAGTGAACCACGCCACCGCTCTGCGTAGTTTGTGCAGCAGGATTCTGGCACGTAGCACGGAAATGCCACCACTGCCCTGGCAGAATGCACCTTCAGTTGCTCAGGAAGTTGCAGCTTGGACAGCTGGTAGGCCAGTCTGGTGGTCTTGAGGATCCAGCATGCAAGTCATTGAGGACTATTCAGCTCCCCTCTGAACTGCTCACCATACACAACACAGAGTCTCTGGGACCAGCCGGTGGATTTGGTATGGAACCAAGAGAAAGCCAGTGCCCTGCATATACAGGGCTGACTCCACAGGGCTAGATGACACTGGGAAGAATGCTGGCAAAACAATGTCCTGCTTCAGGTGGAAGTGCGATGCAACCTTTGGAAGGAATGGGTGGTCAGTCTGTAGGACCACCTTGTCCCTATGGAATGTTAGGAATCATGGGTCAATGCACAGGGCGCAGAGTTCACTCACCCATCTGGCTGAGGTGCTCACCACTAGGAATGCAACCTTCTGAAAGAGGAGATGTAGGTCCACAGTTGCCAAAGGCTTGAAGTGCGGTTTCATGAGGGCTTGCAGGACCACCGACAAGCTCCATCCCAGCATGAAGGAACAGGTGTGCTGGACCAGGTTACATAAATCTCTCAGGAATCGATGAAACAATGGAAGTGAAAATACTGGGAAGCCACTGAACATCCCATGAAATGACAAGAACACCGCCAGATACACTTTAATGGAGAACTGTTTCAGTGCCTCTGAAATGCAGCACATGGAAGACGCTAAGCCTTTGTTGAATAAACACGCAGTGAGGTTTGAAGGCTTCCTCACCCCCAGGAAAAGGAGGCAAAATTACTCCATTTGGCTGTATAGGAATGCCTTGTGTTTGGTTGCAGGGCCACATCCAGGATTCCCTGCATCTTGGGGCAGAAAGGGACCTCCTGATCTACTGGCTGATCCTCCATGCCATGAATCATTCCCAGTTCCAGGAGATTATGTCCATTTTGGACAGGAGCCAGGTGAAGTCACAGTTGGACAGTCAGAGTAGGTGGGAAAACCACATCTGTTGAGGCCACCATGGTGTGATGAGATGCAGGAAGTTCCTTCCCTCTGTATCTTTGCCAGGGCTCTGGTGATCTGCAGGAACAGTGGGAACAGATAGAATAGGGCTCCCTACCAGCAGGGAAGGAATGTGTCTCTCAGCAAACCGTGGACGACTCTGACTCACGAGCAGAAGGTGTTGCACACAGTGTCAGTTGGTGTGAACAGGTCTACTTATGGGATACCCTAGGTCTCGAAGAGCTGTGTCAGGACTTTCAGGTGCAACTCCCATTTATGGGTCCCCTCGTCTTCCTCCTCCTCAGAGGGTCTGTTGTAATGTCATCCATTCCAGTGAGGTGAAAGGCAACGATGGTGATCCCTCTCTTGAGGCACCAAGTCAAGAGAACAGATTACATGCTGCCTTGCTGGTTCAGGTAAAACATAGTGTTGGCCGAGCTTGCCCTGGAGATGAAGTTAGAACATGATCAGTGCCTTTGGGACCATGAGGGGTTCAAGTTGCTCGATATATTCCCTGTAGTCCTGATCAGTCCAGGCTCCATGGGTCTGCTGCCAGCACAGAGCAACACATCCACTGTCATAATGGGCCCCAGCTCCTTCAGTACAGAGACAACTCCCTCTGTTGGGTTGGCTGGCAAGTCCATCAGGCAAGGCTCACATGGACCAGCCACTTCTGAACTGAGCTGCCCTGGGGTCAGTAGGCACACACAAACTAGGACTGCAGGAGCCACATCCATAGCCTGATGCAGGAAACAACCATGACCATCATTGCGATAGGCTCCATGAGCTGCTGCACCCACACCTTTGTCCTTGGCTCAATCTGCAGCTGCAAAGCCAAGTCGATCAGCACCGCTGCCCTGACTGCTGGAACATCCATGTTGTCATTGGGTCAAGTCTTGCTTCAACGCACAGGATCAACTGGGAAAGGGAAAGGACAGATTTTTTTTGGTGTTAATGCAAAGTCCAGAAGGTGGCAAGTGATCTGGATCAAACACCAAAGTTCATCCTGGGATGTGGCAACCAGCAACCAGTTGTCCAGGTAGGGAAACATCTGAATCCCATGAAGCCAGAGGTGGGCACACCACAACTATGTACTTGGTGAAGACATGAGGGGCTGGCTGTGCAGAGGCCAAAAAGAAGGACTTAGAATTGATAGGCATTGCTCCAATCTGGAACCGGAGGAAATGCCAGTAGTCCGGGTGGATGGCAATATCCAAATGGCAGGATGCTGGCTGTACCAATGCCTTCTATAGTTTCCTCACTGATTGATTGGAGGAGGACTGGAAGGAACAGAATGGCTATGGGCACTGAATTCTCTGTCCAGACGATGTTATAGATGGGGTCCAATGGTGGTTTGATGAGCTGCTGGGTGTCCAAGCCCAAGCAACTCCACCATCTGGAGAACCTGTTTGGAGAAACTTCCCAGGTCTTCAGAGGGGGATCCCAGGCCCTGTGCTCAGATGATGACTTTGGGCAAAGAGGTTGGCAGATAATCAAGGAGCAGCAGAGAGCCTGGGTCTGAGGCATAGTTGTCTGCACCCAAAGACAATGACTCTCCAGCTGGTGAGACAGGGCAAACAGTTGCAGAGCAGGAATCAGGACAGGAACTGGGGGAGGCACTGGCACCCTCGGCTCTTCTGGATGATAGACCAGCTGTCCCTATTGCAAGAGCCATGGGGCAACACAACCTCTCTGCCATGGATAGCCTGGAAAGTAATACTGCACTGGTGGCAGGGGCATCCAGTAAGGATTCTGGTCTCAGGTTGGCAACAGAGACCTGGACCACTCCTTCTGCCTGTGGTTGGAGGCTCAGGATGGCACCAGAAGGAAGGCTTCACAAGAAGGACCGGCTGGTAGGCTTGCTGGCAGCATAGACATGTGTTGCTCCTGATGCAGGGAGAACAGTAATGTCATCCAGGAGATCAGTGGCTGGCAGGGTATCAAGTTCCAAATCTCCCCTTCGGAAAAAGACTGCATCATTGCTGGTTCTGCTAGGACAACTGAAGAAACTGGCACAGGAACTGGCATGGAAGCTGGTGCAGGAACTACTGCAGGAGCTGGCTTTGGCAAATAAATGGAGAATAGCACGGGGGCACTTGCTGTTCTTCCCCGGTCACTCTTCTTCTCCATCTCCTTGGCCTTCCTGGCCCACTTCCTCACCCTGTACTCGTCTGCATCTGCATGCCCAGGCATGGGTGGCCTGGACAGGGTGGCTGGAAGAGCCCCCTGCAAGGTGGGGGGGGGGCACTCTGGAGGCATTGCCATGATTCAGTTGAAGGCCCAAAGAGCGTGACTCCACATCTCTGACTTGAGTTGGCCTGCTCAGTTTTTCCATGGCTGGCACACAAATGCCTGGCATTGCAGGCCGAAGGCCACGTGGGGGTCTTCACCGAGACAAAAGAGGCACTGCACGTGCCCGTCTGTAGTGGGCAAATGGCTCCCACTGTGGATGCAGTTTCTGAAGGCCACTGAGTGTCATTAGGGGAGAGAGAAAATTTGGAGAAGAGAGTGAGAGAAGCCCAAGGAGAGACGACGATAGGAGGGTTTGTTTTGTTTTGAAATTAAAACAAATGGGGGGTTAGGAATAAAGTGGGGGTTCTGAAAAAAGGATCAAGAAAAAAGAAGAAAGCAGAATGAGAGAGAGAAAGAGAGGAGAAGAGATCAACTGAGTATCAGAGAAGGTTCTAGCAGGAGAGGCAAATGGGTAAGAAGTCACAAAGAGAGACCCAAGGCACTGACTACAGTAGTTAGAAAAGAACTGGGGAAAATGGCAGGAGCCCCTCCTAAATATACCAGCAGGGGGAGAGGGGAAGGATTCCTGCCAGACTGAGTTGTTCAGAAAATTGTTTCCAACAACAAGCCCTGCACAGGCTATATGTGTGATGCACAGAGACCATGCAGAAGAAAAATATTAATTCATACGTTGTTTAAAATCGCCAATAAAACACATGTGTTTGCCATCAAGTGACTATGTGCCTTGTTTTCTAGGAGCTATAAACAATGAAGCACTTGAGCACTTGTTTTGAAAAAGAGACCGATCAGCCATATAAGGAATGGATCTACTTAAGCCCTTCACAGTATTCTGGACTGGAAGCTTATAGTTTGCTTTGCTTTGTTCTGTTTAATGCAGGGGAATAGGAATTGCTTGAGGATCTAAGCGTTTGTTGCATCTAGAAGTTGGGGAATTAAATTTGGAACATTTTCCAGTCCTAATCCACTCTGACTTCACAAGGTTCAGAATGGTATACAATTTTAAGGAACTCTACACTGTTTGAAATGTAAAAGAATTCAGGATGGCAGGTTGTTAGGAAAGAACTAAAAGCACTTCTTCTGATCATAATGAATCCATCCCTAAAAGACTCTGGTATCTATGGAAGAACAGAACCTTTCAAAGCTTATAGTTTCCAGGAACAGCAGGAACTGGAAATTATCAGATGAGCAGATAAGAGGTGCTAGAAACCTACAATTTCCCCTCAATCCCACAAACGACAAAATGCTACCACTGAATTCAAATAGTACCAGCCTGAATTATTTTAGGAACTTACATAGGAAGTATTTGGACTCACCTGCAGCTAAGTAGCTTTCATACACTTCACTCTGAACCCTCAACAGCAGCGACAGAATTCAACTGTGTAAATTTCTACACTGCTAAAATTCAAGTCAAGCAAGTGCCACCTGCCTTGCCCCAAAGCTTCGCAGTCCCAAGCTACTGCACACACATGTGTCTGCCTCAATTCTTCATATCCCTTTATATACACGGACACCCAGATATAATACAACTCTGTGCAATCCCTCAACTTGTAATCTATACTGATAGCAAGCTTGTTCATATTAATATTTCAGCTTCCATGGCAAGTATTGGAACTTCATAAAATAGGGTCATAAAACAAACATTCTTGCTGAGGTCATAGTATAATTCTTAACTCAGTTTGACAAAAAGATCTGTTCTCATGTTTGCACACCCTAAGAGATCTATATAGTTCATCTGAAGCTCCTCTCGGTGCATTACAGTAAGGTACACCATCTATAAGGCACTACCTTTCTATATATTTCTTTCTTCATAGTTCATTGCCATAGGCATTGAACACCTCAGATCTAATTTCTCTCTATTTGTTAGTAATCAGGGAGCTTGCTCGGTGTGCCACACACTGTGTAAAGTTCTGGCTCCCAGAAATCGACAGATACACAGCGATCCTGCAGTAAGGAAAGAGCCCTACCAATGAGAGAGCTCATCCTCGGCATAATATATGAGATCTGCATCAGAATCAGAACCTGAGCATCATTCTGAACCTGATTATTTTGTGGGCAAGACAGGACCAACAAGGAAAAACCATTTTAGGCTCAGAAGCAGTATATTTCACAAATATACAGAATCTTGCTTTAAAAAAACTTTTAGGGGGGAAAATACCACAGAAAAGAAAAAAGATGGCTATATCTGTTTGCAGCTGCATGACAAAAAAGTAAAGAATGGGGAGCTGAACACACATGCAGACAAAGCTTGACTTGTTGAAGCAGTCTTCCCTGAAGAGACAAACCACTGCTCTGCTTAAGAAGCAGACAGTCTCTCTTTAGTAGCAGAAACTAGGGCAGCAGAAACAACAAGCCAGCTGTGCACATGCACCTCTTTAATATGTTTGCTTGCTGGACCCTAGCCAACTCATTCTGTCATTTTCTTAAATAGACATGATCTATTCTGTTCAAGGTACCACAGCCACCAGATCGCAATCAAAGTAGAAGAGAGGTATGATTACTTCTCGCTCTGCTTCTTTCAGCAGTGCTTCTTTCTCTTTGACCCTCTGCACAAACATTTGCCTCATCTCTTCTTCTTTCTGCTGCAATTCACCAAGGAATTCATGTCGCTTAGCTTCATACGTCTCCTGTAGACTGAGAAGCAAAAATACAAGAAATCTCCATCATTTATACAAGGCAGAAGCAATGCAATTGCTTATCCTACATCACACAAATACACATTTTTATATTTTATCAGATTTCAGTCTTCTCAATGCATTTTTTTAAAGGGCAAGTGTTTAGTAAATTGATCTAAATCACTGGTGCCCAAACTTTTTCAGACTGCTACCCCTTTCCTCTTGGATGATGATAGTAGCACCCCAACAGCTCTTTCTCTGTATTAGATCTATTGTACTAGTGCAAATTTAAAAGAACCAATGACTGCCCTCCTAGATCTTTCCACCACCCCCAGTGGGATGATACTACCCACTTTGGGAATCATTGACCTAAATCTTAATAGGAAGATTACAAACCCCTTCTCTATGAAATAAGTTTGCAGTTCTGAGGCCAATTAAATGAGATGGCAGCACAGGTTATTCAAGCTGTTACAAGATTGCGTATTCGGCCTCAATAAAAGAATTCCAACACCTTTGAAAAGCTTCATTTGAGATGGTCTCTCATCAGTAATAATTGCAGTTAATTAATGGTCTCTTGTGATAATAAGCTGACTTGATCAACCATAAAAGGTAAGACTGCATGTGCATATAACTAGATCTGATATACACAGTACAGTAAATAAACGATTCATGACTCCCACACTAGAGACATTCAAAATGAAACCGGACAGCCATCTGAGTGAGATGGTGTAAACTGGTGTTCTGCAACAGCAAGGGGCTGGACCCGATGGCCCTCTGGCCTCTTCCAACTCTGCTATTCTATGATTGTATGACATATATCAAAACATATCCATAAAATCAAACAAGATAATATCAAACTGTATTAGTTATGGGAATCAAGTAATTATTTTGTAACTTCAAATAATCTCCTGATACTCTGAATTCCCACAGCAGTAAGTCATAACAATCTAAATACTGGTTTTAAAAGAAACTACCATATTAGAGCTTTCCTCACATGTGTTCAGTTCCATGCACCCTATTCCAATGAACCCTTTGAAATAAAAAGCATGGCTCTCCAAAGCAAGAACAGAAGAATACAAAGACAACAGAACACCCTGTGCACATTTGCATGTGCCTAGTCTTCAAGTAGCTAAAAACAAAATCAGAGCTGCTTCCAAGAAAATCCAAATTTTACTATGATTATGCAAGTTGTATAATTTAATTTTCAGAATTGCTTAGATTTTGCATAAAATATGCTTATATTTTTGGAATTTTGTGGAATCTAATTTTAATTCAGCCTTCTCCTTCTCAGGTGCCTTCCGGATATATTGGAGTACAACTCCCATCACCCTAAGTCAATGGGCTTGCTAGGTGAGAATGATGGAAAGTCAGGGGAAGGCTGTTGGTTAGCAGTATGAGGAGTATAGACATGACTAAAGGCCACAAGGAAGAAGCACGCTGCCCCAGAAGGCATTAAAGAGAGGACAGAGAGAACTTTGGCTATTGGGCTGTATAGAAATATAATAAATACAAAAAGAATATAAATAGCTAATTCGAAATCTCTTTTGAATTTTAAGGCAGCTTCACTAACTTCTTGTGCATTTCAGAACACAATTCAAAGTGCCTGGTCTGCCATTTTTTTAGTTATTTATTTATATTGTGGATTCACCGAAGCAAAACAAAACAAAATCTAAACAAAGCAAGCAAACAAAGGAAACATGAAAAAGCTAACAATTGCTGCTTATGTAGCTATCCAGACAACCGAGTAAACCTAAATATAGCCATTATATATACGTTTCAAAAAATACTGATCTATGTCCATTCAAGAGAGCTATCTGTATGTCATCCACCCAAATATTGAAACTGTTTTTAAATCTTCAATTCATTCTATTACAGGAAGTGAACTTTCATCTTTCACATGTTGTAGTAGCCATCCTTAAGCTGTCCAAAGGGCATGAAAAATACATTATGTTGCCTGAATGTTAACTTCCAAGAAACAGGCAGATAATTCAAAAGATGTACATCAGAAAATATAGGCAGTCCCTGGGTTATGAACGTCCAAGAACAACCTTTACTAACTGCCATTAAGCCAATTAATTTAAAAAATCTAGTTAAAGACCTAATAAGAAAAATCATCATCACCATAAAGAGAGAGGGGAAACAAAAAGGAAGAGAGGGAGGACCTCCAAAGCATGCCTTCTTGCCCCGCCAATCTGGAGAGAGAAATCTCTCCATCATTTCCTTGGTGAAAAGAGAAGGCTCTAGTGAGTTTGGGGAAAGGGGCTAGAGATATTTGCAGTTTTTCCACTTCTGCAGGGGTCCTATGCCCCTAACTTCTGTGAATGTGGAATGCTAACTGTACATAATCCAATTTACATACAAATTTGACTTAAAACTGCCTATATCAAAGCAAGTTCTAATACAAAGTTTACCCACATTATAACTTCCAGCCAGACAGAGGCAACTACTGGACATTGCAAAAACACATGATTAAAATAAGAAATATTGTACCTCCAACAGTTAGTCAACTTAGGCAAATTCTTCTTAAAAAGATGTTGAGGCATCCAGTAAATGCATATTTGTCATTTCAAAAGATGTAATCTGAGATCCACTGAAACTTCAGATGTTACTCTAAAGCAGCAATCTACTGTTTGGACCAAACAGGATATTTCCCTCCTTTATTCTTCTCCTCTGATGCATCATATTTATTAACTGATAATAGATATCCATACACATGGATCATGATTCAATATAACTACTCAGCCTCAATATATAATTCTAATAACTGAGGAGACTATGAAGCTGTAAAAACTTCAGAGCCAAAGCTAGATTCTAGCAAATGTTACAATTACAGCATTATTAAGTATTGCCACTCAGTTGCCACATGCTAATCTTACCTGGCACACACATCAGAAAGTGATGAGAGTTTATAATACTTCTCCACTAATTGATCCCAAGTAAAAATAAACTTATCTGTCCATGTCTGCCACAAACAGACTTAGCCTATTTTTAAGCCGGAATTGTTTTTATGCAGCTAAGTTAGCATGCAAAGATGGATCAAACTGTACTTGATGCAATATTGTCTGCCACACATCTTGAGCAATCAGCACAGCAGGAGGAACCCTCCTGGTTTTACTACGCTAGGATCTGGATCCCAACCACTGCAACAGCAAGTTCAGACAAGAGGAGAGCCCAGTGGTGGCAAACCTATGGCACGTGTGCCACAGTGGGCACGCAGAGCCCTCTCTGTCGGCACACAAGCCAAGTTGCGCCGTATATATTTGCTTGGACTGGCTGTGAGGTGCTTTTTGTAAACTAAAGCCTAAGTGTTCAGGTTGCATTGTGTTTAGAGTGGGCAGGTGTGATGAGCTATGCAGACAACGCTACTCGAGGAATGCCTTTACAAAATCACACTCTTTTCAATGGTATTTTAGTCCTATATTAGGCTTATGGGTGCACACCAGGGTAGGGTTAGGGTTAGAAAAATGAGGTGTCCTGGCATGATTTTGATGGTTGGAATGTGTTTAGAATGGGCAGAAATGATGAGCAGTGCAGAAAAACCTACTCAAGAAAGGCTTTTTCAAAATCACCCCTTTCAATAGTATTTTACCCCTATACTAGGGCTAGGGGAGCGCACCAGGGTAGGATTAGGGCAGTGGTGGTGTGCCTATGGCACGCTTGGCACAGCGGGCATGCAGAGCCCTCTCTGTCAGCACACGAGTGAAGTCACACCAGCATCACCCCAGCAACCGGGCAGCGGATCACAGCGCACGGAGGGGCCATGCACATACTCGAAAAGGGGTAGCCGCACCAGGCGATGACAGCACGAGCCGTGACTCATTAGCCGCATCTCGTCTGAGCTTTCGCATGGCTGGTTAGTGCACTGCCTAGGATATATAGATATTTGCTTGGGCTGGCTGTGAGGTGTGTTTTCTAAACTAAAACCTCAGTATTCAGGTTTTATTGCAGTGTTGGCACTTTGCGATAAATAAGTGGGTTTTGGGTTGCAGTTTGGGCACTCGGTCTCTAAAAGGTTCGCCATCACTGGGATAGCCACCCAACCATGGTTAATATATATATATATATATAAAAAGTCTAAGTGGAAACAACAAACATTCAGTACAGTTTAACTAATAGTGTTAATCTATACAGCCCAATACAGGCTCAGGAAAAAAACATTCATCACAATGTATAGCTTTGCAAAAGCAAGACAGATACAATATATTCAGCCTTTTGTAGTAGGGCCAAACATCCGACACGCAATGTACACAAAACAAATATTACAGATGAACAGCTGTCAACCCAATGTTTCCATTCCTGCGATCCCTCCATCTCCTTTCTGAAGCAGAAGGCTATGGAAACTGAACATATCCACACATGGCAGGCATCGCATGCAGCACTGTTAACTACTGCAGAGGATGTAAGTGCAGGCTGCTGTCTCACCATGTCTACAGTATTTTTTAGTGGGGGGTCGGGTCATCCAGGGGCCCACCTTATTAAGCTGGGATGTAAAGGCAGCACAACTACTGAAGCAAGCATGAGTAGGCAAAGCACACACTGCCTTGGCATCTGAGGGATTTCGTTCTTAAGCCTTGATCCTAAATGCACCCTGCTTAGAGTAAGCCCTAGTGACTGAAATGGAACTTAATTCTGATCTAATTAGTTGAGATTGAAGTGTGAAGGAGCAAGAGGTTCACAAGAATTTTGAGCCTCTGAAGAGACCCCTCACGTGGCAGATGGCTTTTAGGAACAAACTCAGCTTAACAGTGCAAACCATTTGTGTCTGAGTAAATTCAGTTGTTTAAAAAGTGTGTATTTGCAGACCACCCAGTGAGACAGCTTTCATCACTTGATGGGCCTTATGCACCCACTGGAATTATTGTGGAGACTCTAGACATGACACCCTTTCATATGCAAGGCTGTAATTTTCTCCTCATTTTTCATGGCTTTTCAATCATCCTCTCTTCTGTACATGCCAATTTGGCATCTCTCCTCTGACTTAAAAGCAGAGTGTCTAAACCTGCTCTCAGAATGCTAGAA